TGAGGCAGGAGGATTGCTTGAACCCAGGAGTTTGAGGTTGTTGTGAACTAGGATGCCAGCGTGCTCTACCCAGGATGACTGAGACGCTACCTCAACCCTTAGGCTCAGTGCCTGCAGGTGAGTAGTTAGGGCGCAGGCCACATATATTGAGGTTGGTGGGTTCGAACCTGGCCCAGGCCAGCTAAACAACAATGACATAGCTGGGCATTGTGATGGGCACCTGTAGTTCCAGCTACTTGGGAGGCTGAGGCAAGAGAATCCCTTGAGCCCAACAGTTTAAGGTTGCTGTGAGCTGAGACACCATGGCACTCTACCGAGGGCAACAAAGTGAGACTGCCTCAAGATAAACAAAAAACATGTGAAGCAAAGCCAGGCATGATGGCTCACTCTTGTAATCCTAACATTCTAGGAGGCCGAGACAGGCACATTCCTTGAGCCTAGGAGTTCAAGACCAGCCTGAACAACAAGAAGACCCCATCTCTAAAAACAGCCAGGCGTTGTGAAAGATGCCTGTAGTCCCAGCTACTCGGGAGGCTGAGACAAGAGGATTGCTTGAACCCAAGAGTTTGAGGTTGCTGTGAGCTATAATGCCACCACACTCTACCCAGGGCAACAGAGTGAGACTCTGTCTCAAAAACAAAAAATAAATAAATAAAGCACTCAGAATGCCACTACCACATACTAACTGCTATATAAAACCTTGCTGCTATAATAAGACTATTTAGAAAGTAATCACAAAGAAAACAGTACCTATTGAAATATTTGTGATGTAGCCTGATTTATATTATGAAAAAGTCAGTCTTAAAACTTATAGAAAATGAGATAGAAGAGAATCATTCAACTCAAAAAGAAAAAATAAGTTGGTTGGGCACGCTAGCTCACACCTGTGATCCTAGCACTCTGGAGACTGAAGTGGGTGTTTTGCCTGAGCTCAGTATTTCGAGACCAGCCTGAGCAAGAACAAGAGCCCATCTCTACTAAAAACAGAAAAACTAGCCAGGTTGTAGCGAGCACCCATAGTCCTAGCTACCCAGGAGGCTGAGGCAGGAGGATTGCTTGAACCCAGGAGTTTGAGGTTGTTGTGAACTAGGATGCCAGCGTGCTCTACCCAGGATGACTGAGACGCTACCTCAAAAAACAAAACAAAACCAAAAATAAATAAATTAAAGGAATTCCACAGAAATATTTAATATTAATTAATTTTAAAATTTTAATATAGATAAAATAAGATTACCTAATTGGCTAAACATAAAAATTAAAAGAATAATCCATCAACCCAAATTAAATCTCTAATAAGCCAATACAAAGACAACTTAGCATAACCAAAGACTGGAGAAAAAACCACAAAAGCAATTATCAGGAAAGGGATATAACCACAGAACACATATTGACAGAT